CCTGTACGAAAAGCAATTTCTGCACTGAAAACAAGAAAACCAACTCACCGTTTTACGAGGCGGCCAAACTTCCGGGCCAAACTTCTAGTTTTCACCGTCGCGACTTCAGGTCGACGTTGTGGCATTATGCTAATTAGTTACAAGAATTGAACATTTCACTTCCGGTTGACGTCCTCCTCGGCCGCGTCCAGAGTATCTTAAGGTCCGTAATGTTTGGCCGCGAAGCGGCCGACCGCGAGCGACGAAGTCGTGCCTTCTCCCGCGCCATGTGAAATCCGACGAAGGACTTTTTTGAAAGTCTATGAAAAACCTGAAGGCAACGTAAGTTTGGTAGGCCCGCTGCACGACTCTTGCCTCATGTTAAAACACCATTTGTTCAATTATTTTCTTTCAAGTGGCTAAATTATGTTGTAGAGGATTCTTAAATTTTACTGAACAAGTATTTAGTTTTTTTCCAGTTGTCTTACATTGAGAGGTCATGAAGCTGGGTTACACGCATATTGATTTCCTGTGGTCTTTGTTTGACCTCTGATGCAGAGTTTTAGCATTTTTTTTTTTATCTCTTTTAAAGCGTTATTATAGCTTTTTATTGCGGCTTAATAACGCTTACATAAAGGTTTTAGTTTTAGTTTCTTTAGATTTCTTCGAAATGTCTGGATCGGAATAACTACACCACCTTGTTGTCCGTGTGTATGATAAAATACCTAATAACTTTTGTCACGATAGGCCTAGTAAATCCCGGGGGGGTGCTTTAGGACTTTTTGGGTGGGGATGTGCCGCTGGGACCTTGGAACCCTTAGCCCATACCAGAGCTAGTTCAAGTGAATTTTGCTACCCTATACTAGACTAAACTCCCCAAACCCCCCCATCCTAGGGTAGGTGTTTTCCAGAAACAACTGAGAATCACTAGCACAGTCCCGCTAAAACAAAACTGATTTGATTTTTTTTATATTCTTGAGTGGCAATTCCCAGTTTCCCTAGTCTAGACTAAAATCTTCAGCCAATTGATCAGTTTAAATGGAAAATGATACCCTCTTCTAGACCCAAACTCTCTGATTTATATACCCCATCCCAGAGTAAACTGCTTGAAAACCATACCCTTCAAAGCAGTACATACCTTTATAGCCCATATATGGCAGTACCTTCCCCGGGCAGAAAATCTACCCATGGCTTCGCCGCAACCGAAATCCTCGCTAAAGGATATCAAAATTATATTCCTCTTCCTGTAAACAGTTCATCCCTACCAGTAAAACATATAATTACACTTTTGTCTTCACAAAGTTGGGTCAGGGTGAAATAATTCTGCGTGGACAGTACGGAGATCAAAGTATCTCAAATACTCGCTGACCATTTTGCCACCATCGCTTGATGTCGAGCTTACTGATATAAATGACTTCATCGATCACCCGAGTGTACAATTGATAGTGAAAAACGAAGATAATTCACCTGAGGTGTTTGTCTTTGAACTGGTAAATGAGACAGAAGTAAGAACTGTGTTAGAATCATTAGATGTTAAAAACGCTACCGGTGGTGATGGCACCCCGGCTAGGGTGCTGAAGATCAGTGCTAAAGTTACGGCCCTACCCCTTTGCACCCTTAGCAACTCATGCATTAAAAAGGGTACATGGCCCAAGGACTGGAAGGGGGTGGGGGGTGAGTGGAATCCAGTTTTTAAGAAAGGAGACAGACAGGTACAGAAGAATTTTAGACCTGTAACGGTACTATCTTGCCTAAACAAAGCATTTGAGCGTCTGCTGTCTTACTGCCTATCGCAGACACCCTCATTGGCCTTGTGGAGTACTGGAAACGTGCCAAGGACAACCAGTTATCTGTCAGTATCCTCTCAACGGACATGTCGAAAGCTTTTGATTCTCTGCATCCACCACTCATGTTATGCAAGCTATGGTGTCCGAGACAAGGCGGTCGACATGCTTCTGAGTTACTTGTACGATCGCCAAAGTCGTGTACGAATCGGGACGGTAGGAATCTCTTGGAGGCCAGTAAATCGTGGCTGTCCTCAGGGGTCAGTCTTAGGACCGCTTCTCTGTAGACAAGGGTTTTTAAAACTATGTTTGCAGATGACTATCAAATTTTCGAGATAGGCAAAGAAACGTGCACTGTAGTGTCCCAACTACAGTAGAACTCAACCTTAGAAACCAACTGGTATGGTTCGAATCTACTTCCGGTCAACCTTCAGAAGTATCAGATGATAAATATACGTAGCAAACGCGCAAGTAATAAGCAAACGGTATAACTGTTAAGGGCGAGATTATAAATGAGCCTGAAAATCTAAAACTCCTAGGCGTAACTATTGATAGTAGACACAACTTTAACGAACACATCAATAGCTTAAAACAATATTTTTATTTACTCACACTTAGAATTATTACAAGAATAATGTTATATACATTACAAATTAACAATGGGACAAGAAGGAATAGTATTAGGTATTTATTAGGTATTTAAGGCTAAGTGAACTTTGAGGCTTTCGAGTTAGCCCCTGATAAAAAAAACAGAGAGAGACAGGGGAGAAGAACTAATAGCATAATTAAGTTATAGTCAGTAAAAATAAAATTCTATTCAGGTTACTTTCGAGTATTGTTCTGACAGCAAATAACGTTTTATTTTTTTGGAAAAGGAAAATGTAGTGAGGTCTTTCATGTGATGAGGAACATCTCGCCAGAGATCAGTTGCTTGATACGAAAACATTTGTTTGCCCATGTTGGTTGCATAGATGCGTCTCTTGTGTTGTATGTACGCCTGCTACTGGCATATTGAAAAAGTTTATCAAACACGTTTGGCAGAAGCCACAGATGGGTAAATTTTAAAGTGTAGAAACGGTAGACATTATTTACTGTTAGAACGTCTAAAAGATTTAGGTAAGGAAGAGCGCTTTCTGTGCAAGGTCCAGATGTAGTTGCAAAAAACATTAATCATATAGGACTGTATTTTGCTTGGTTTGCATTTTTGTAGGTGCGTTTTTAAGCACTGCCCCAAGCTATTGCAGCATATGTGAATAGGGGTATACAAGGCTAAAATAGATTTGTTTGAGTTGATAAGTACAAAGATAACGCCTTAGTTCTGAAACTATGCCAGTATTACGTGAGATACGCGAGCAAATATAAGAGATGTGATATTTCCAACTTAATGAGTTATCGATCATAACACCCAGATATTTAATCATGATGATCTTTTTGTTCTAACAGGTGGAACAAACCATCTATGTTTTGCAATTTTATTTGTATTCCTCCGGATGGTTATCTTGATGATTTGATAATCATATAATTGGTTTTGGTATAATTTTTAGAAAGTTTGTTAACACAGCACCATTCCTCGACTTTCACTAATTCAGAGTTCATTAATATGTCAAGAGTTTTCAAGTCAAGAGCAAAGGCAAACAGATTTGTATCGTCAGCAAAAATCCTAAAAGACAAGGACAATGAGCAGTTAGGTAGATCATGAACATAAAGTAAGTAAAGTAAAGGCCCTAGTGTACTGTCTTGTGGAATTCCGCAAGTCATCCTTTGTCTTGGTGACTCTGTATCATCTATTGCTGCGTACTGCTGCCTGTTCTCAAGGTAACTTGTAAACCATTTCAAGGGAATCCCTCTTATTCCATATGAATTTCACTAACAATATTTGGTGATTCACGGTGTCAAATGCTTTCGAAAAGCCTATAAATACTCCAAAAGTATATTGATTATTGTCTATTGCTTTTCTTAGACTGCACGCAATTTCGCAAGAAGGCAAGTCAGAGGATCAGTGCGCTGGGTAAGGAATCTGATACCTACTATGGCTAAGATACTTAAGCAATAGACCACAGTTTCTATGGGTTTTGCCGGCGTTTATCACGCCGGTAAACCCGTAGAAAGTGTGGTCTATTGCTTTTTTAAATAACTCTAAAAGTTTTCTACGAGTTTACCGGGACAATAAACCATAGATTTTAACCACTTAGAACGCGCATACTCTCTTTGTTATTTTATGAAACTCTATAAATCGGCAATTCTTCCCCACCTCACTTACTGCCATTTAGTATGGCACTTTTGACATTCGTAGTTTAGAGAGGCTACAAGAACGGGGTTCAGTTTGCGGGCTGTCTTTAGGAACACACATTTTGATTACCAATGCCTTCTAATGAACAAAGCGAGACATAACTCATGTCCAAGACCATTTTATAATCTATTTCAGCCTAGTAACCATACTTATCAGCTGAGACAAACTGACTTCGCATTACACAGATTCAAAAAATCCTACTTATGGCAAACATTCCTTGAGATACCTTGGTCCCAAACTGTTGCATAACTTATCCAGAAAGGAAAGACTTGCAAGCAATCTTAACTATGATACCTTGAAATCGCAAATAAGAAAGCTTGACGTATCGAGCCTCTTATAAAAGATGGTTGCACAGGCTGCTATCTATGCAATTCCTAAATTTGCGGTTAATAAAACTGTTTTCATCGCAAAGACATTTGTCCTCGCTCTTTTGTCATTGTTACTGTATTTTGTAGATATATATAATGTTATGCTTTATTCTCGGTTGCCCCGTGTTCAGATCCTCGGCGACGCTTGTAAATAGCCAACTGCAGGTTGCCTCCTGCCAGTTGGGGTTTTTATTCCTGTTATATTGTATTCGAATTATTTGTTTCTAAGTATTTGCGTGGAGTGTCTGTAAACTAGCTGGATAAACTAAGTGCACTTTCCACTATAAAGAAGCCTTTTTTAAAATCTTTTTGTACATGTACACTTTTAGATTCTTGTTTAGCTTCATATAGATTTGGTCGGTTTCAGACATTTTTATGCTTAGTTAGGTGCTCGCTATAAGCTGACGGTTCTTCTCTGCTAGATATTTTATTGACACTTTAATAAATGTTGTTCATCCATTCAAATTTATTGTCATTGTAGTTTACTAGATTATTTAGTAATAGTGTAACTCTAGGTCTCAAATTTCGTCTTCTTATGATGCAGGTCCTTGATCATCAACTAGTCCAGTAAGAATAAAGATGGCATTTACAGAGCATGAGGAAAAAGTTTCAGAATTTTATTCCCGTGTGGTGGATAACAACCATGACTGGAACGACGGATTTCTTACATTTGGAGTATGGAAAACGAAATCCGGTGATCCTATACCACACCCTTTGTGTTACGGCGCAGTGTATGATGAGCTTTTAGAAGGTAGCATGATACAGGCTGATCACAGCGTGCTGGATGTTGCTTGTGGGCAGGGAGCTGGCATGTTACGAATCAAATCCCAGAATGGCTGCAACATCCAAGGTCTGGACATCAGCGCTGCAAACGTGGAAATAGCGAAGCGAAGACTGCGTGATACTGGAATTACTGTAACACGCGGTAGCGGAACGAAGATGCCTTATGAGGAAAATTCTTTCGATTCTGTTATTTGTGTGGAAGGAGAACCACACATGAATAGCAGAGAAGATTTTTTTCGAGAAGCATTTCGAGTTCTAAAGCCAGGCGGAAAGTTATTCATAGCCGATCTTGTGGTTCTTAAGGCTATACAGGATTTGAGTTACTTTCATCAGATTATTTGGAAAACTGCAGCGAAGTTATGGGTGGTTCCTCACAGTAATATGTCTTACGGAATCGATGATTACAAACAGAAGTTAAAAGACATTGGGTTTAAGTTGACAAAGTTTGAATTCTTAGGTGACAGAGTATTACCAGGTTATTGTAATTTTAATCTATCGTTATCTGTTATGCGGGAACAAGCAAAGGTAAGAGGTCCGTTTGTCGGTTATGTGGGAGGTCCAATGATTGATATTATCCTAAAAATGGCTTTCTCCAACAAAATAATTGAGTACATCTTTGCTGTGGCAGAGAAATAAGTCATCAAATAAACGGTTGCAATACCACAGGCACACCATCCTCTGTTTGTGTTTTGGACTGCGATGTACGTGAAAGGGGTTGCAATTATTTATATGTATTTTTTAGTTAGGGGGATTAGAGGTGACATTTGTATTATCGTACTTTTGCGACCTCAAAATTAAAACAACAAACAAATCACAACTTCGGCATCGAGTTTCATAATGCTCTTGAACGAATAACGCTAACCGCTTGTTAGCGCATTTAGGAAAACGTATTAATCAGTTAATCAAGTAATTGGCCGTCGTATAAAATGCAGTCGCGAAACTCAAATGTAAAATGATGAGCCTGTGGCGAGACTCTTGTAATCATAATCATTTACATAATCATAGTCATTACCACTTGGGCTGGAAGGCTTTTTAAGGCTAACTTAAGGGAATAACACTCGTCATTATTTAAGTGAAAGAAAAAGAGTTATAGCGTTTTGTGGCACATAAAATTCAACCTTATTCACCGAATATAGTACAAAATCAAGATACAAACTTTAGGGTAGATTTTTCTTGAGTGTATAGGCAACTAGAATGTAATAAAAGATATGTACTTTTATCTTTTGGCAATGAAGACTATTATTATTATTATTATAATCTGAAAAGACTGTATCTTTTGGAACTTTTGGCTCTAGTTACACTTTTTTTTTCTCGTTCATACAGGAACGTTTTCATGGTTTTTAAGTAATCTTCATGCTTTTTCCAAGTAATATCATTAATTTCTTCTAAGAATTTAAAAACTCCTGGCCCTTTTGGTCGGTAAACGTCAGTAACGTTTTTGCAAGGAATTTGAAAAAGGTGATCTCTATTGATTGACGATTTCGTTATGTGTTCTTCACAATATACTGAACTGGTTTTTATCAAAACACATTTGACTGACATTTTGCAAATTCACAAGTGTATTCAAACAAAATAGTAAACTGAAAGATATAATGTTCATCAGGGTTTGTTTAAGGTAGGGCTAGTTTGTTATGAGAATCGTGATAGTTACTAATCATGAATTTTCCACTGGTTACTGTTATCTTCATACCAACGTGTAGTTGTGTGATTATATACCAAAGTGTTAATAAACCGGTGTTATTTCATTTTCTTGTGCTACTTTATAATAGAGAATAGGGAGCTTAAGCAACTGCGACGACGACCACAACGACGACTTCCAAAACAAACAAAAGGTTTAATGATCAAAACAACAGCTCTGCACGTGCATCACGCTTTTTAGTGCATATCTTTGACGTCCACTGTACCACCACGACGTAAAACCTCCTAATGTGGACTTTAAGATCTAACGACGCCACGGTAATGAGAACGTCGCTTAAAAAGTGAATTTGCCTTTTTTCAGTCTTAATAGCGATTATTCCACCCTTTTTACTTTGTCAAATGTAGGCGAACCCTCCTGAAGCTGAATTTCAAGGGACCATATCCAAGCTCAGAAAGAGAAATAAAATTTCGTCGTTGCTTGTTTACGTCCTCCATAAAACGCCACATTAGGCATTTTCACGTCGTAGTCGTGCAAAAACAAAAAACAAATGTACAAAAAAGCGTGATGCACGTGCGAAGTTGTTGTTTTGCTTATTAAACCAATTGTTTTTTTGACGTTCTCGTTGGCGTCCGCGTCGTTGGATCTTAAAGTCCCTAATTTGACGTTTTATGGAGGACGTGGACATACGCCGACGAATTTTCTTCCTCTTTTTGAACCTGAAAAAAATCCTTAAGAATTCAACTCCAGCAAAGGTCGCCTGCATTTATACATATTGAGCGGGTCCAAATAGACGCAATTAAGTTTGAAACAACGCAAATTAATTTTTTTGACCGACGTTTTCACTGCCTTGGTCGTCCTTGCTTAAGGTCCCTAATGTTAATAGCTTTGACAACGAGTGTGATTCGATAACGGGTTACCGATCAAAGCACTCTGCACAGTCATCAATTTTGTGAAGCCCCAAGTTGACGCAAGTGCTCCAATTGTTCTGCTGTTCCGCCTTGAGCGGTTTTTCATCGAAAAGTCGATGTGGCGGAAGCGAGTTTGTTGAAGGTAAAGATGGTAAAGATATATTCATTTTTTTGCAGTTTTGTTTAGTTTGAAACAGTTACTTATCATGTATTTAACATTTTTTGAGTGTAAGATCAACAAAATCCCATTGTAATATTTTTTCGCAAACTTGAACTCGAAATAACAGGGACTTCAGGGAATTCAGGGACTTTTTCTTGGGACAGGCAAAAAATTGGCCAATAGCTAAACGGTGCGTCCCCAGTAACGATCCCAGAAACAATTGCTGGAGAGATCTTAGCATCAGTCTTCATATCGTTCCTTTAGGGGCAAATCAGTGTAAAAAATAAGGTTGACAGGCTAGCTTGCACAAACTTTTAGCTCTTTTGGTCGCATTTTTACTGTATGAATGAGTTAATGAAGTCTTTATTGAAAATTAGCACCAACAAGCATAAGTCTGAGTTAACAACAATCGCGTAATAATATTTATTAGTATATACTAAAACAGTGAATAGTGTTCAGTTTCGCGCGCTCTGATTGGCTACTCAATCAGTGAATATCCTGCACTATTCACTGATTCACCTCTAGTTTCTCCGAGCGAGTGACGCCGAACTCGCGTAACTTGTGAGAAAAATGCCTTCCCGGTTTGCTGCCGTAACAAACAAAGAAATTTCACAACTAATCAAGGAAGTTTTTCCTGAAATACACAAAGAAGGTTTGAATTTATCGATAAAACCGGTTAAAAAGTTTTTTGTTTACAAATGCAAATTTAGCTTATTAAGTCTTGCGTTACTTTATTTAGTTGACTTGTTCATAAATAAGCTTAAAACTAAATTCAATAATCCTTTTTACAGAATGGTTTTCAACAGAAAAAGAATTAACAACTCATTTTTGAAAAATGTCCCTGCAAGAGCTAAACAAATGCCTTCAAAAGTTCTATTTGTCGGCAAGAAAAAGCTACGACCGCAGCCGTTCGGTCATTGAACGCCAAAATTGTAATCGTTGGCAACGGTAAATGAATTAAAAATCAATTATTATTCATTCAAAATATTTCCCCAATTCTGATTGGCTAAAAGCACACGTTTAATTAACCATAACCAGTTACTGATGACCAAATTTGGAAGAATTTTGACTTTAACGAGGAAATGACGTCAAAAATGCAGCGTTTTCGCAGGTTAAGGCACCGTTAACCCAGAAGACCTGGGGACGAGGTTGAGTGGTTTTGGTTGTGAACTTAAAAAAATGGCGGACATTTCACTCGTTTCAAGAGTAAGAACTAGGCGAAAAAATAGCTAAACACACGGCAAGAACAGCAAGAAGGCAACTCGAAGGGCGACATCTGCTATTTGGAGAATATTTTGGGGAGCTGGACAAACCCAAACGTACACTATCGAAGATGAACTGAACATCGATGGATCGATGGAGGTAAGCATGTTTTGGCTATGTTTTTAAACTTGGAATTATTTTGAATGAATAATAAAACAGTTAATGAATGAGACTGGGTATCTTATGAAGAATTATGGAGATCTCAGAGGGTGTTATCCGCCTCGGCCTACGGCCTCGACGGATAACACCCTCCTCGATCTCCATAATTCTTCATAAGATACTCAGTCTCATTCATTAACTGTTAATTTTTCACCTCAGTGTCGGTGGCAAGTGGTGGTAATTTACCTCGCCGCTTCGCGGCCTCGGTAAATTCACCACTCAACTTCGATGAATAATTGTCATTTATTCAACTTTTATACACTGTACGAATTCCGATTTTCTGATTGGCTGATTTGTACCACGTGATACTGGGTTGTGACAAAACAACCACATTGAAGTCATTATTGTGGATTTATTGTGGTGCAAATTCAACACACCACTGTCATTACACCGTGGCCTCGGCTGACTCAAAGTTTGACGATTTGTCAGATGCAGACATTGATTCTCTTATTGATCATGCAATTCGTAAAAACACCAAGAAAGCAACTGCTTGAGGAATATCTGTTTTGAAAGGTGAGGCGGCGAATTTTAAATTTTTCATTCAAGCTAGTTGAGGTATTTTTGCCGCGTGTTGTCAACAGTTTTACCAGCTTTGTGCAGTGCATTCAATTTCAATAATAAAAATGTTAACGCACTCATTGCTCGTAAAAATCGGGATTTACCTGTACCCGTTCACTAACCATGAACTCGAAATTTTCAATACACACTCGGCAAAGCCTCGAGTGGTATTGAAATTTCTCGTTCATCGTTAGTGAACTCGTGCAGGTAAATCCCGATAATTCATTCGCTGAGTGCGTTAACCTGTAAATACCATATTAAAAGGTAAATTGAAAATATAAGCAAAAATTAAAGAGACATCTATTGATAATGAAGGGGCCACTGCTGGCCGAATGCCGATGGCCAGTTAAGTGTCGGCCATGTTGAGTTATGCTTCGTACTCGTTTCGTATGAACCGATTTAGGACGGACTATACTTATTATCGTAAGTTTATTAGCTTCTGTCACATCTTAGCTTATTGTTCTTGTTATTTAGTATACCTTTACTGTATTATATTTTGTAGAACTGTTTCATCGTTGTAATTAAAGCAAGTAGACAGTCGAGGAGTTCGCTTCATAAAACAGTTGACTCCTTAGTCATTGTAGTCATCGAGTGCTCCGTGCCCAACTGCACTTTTAAAACAAACGACGTCCCCGAGGCATTGGCCATCGCCCTTATAACGAGCCTGGCCCACCGACCTTCGGCGCCTCTCAACACAGGTGCCAACCCAGCACTCACAATAACCCGAGTCCCAAAACTCCAGCGGCCCAAGATCGACATTGCGGTAACAATAGAGGAGTGGAATGTCTGCACGAGGCGCTGGGGGCCGGACAGGCTCAGGGATCGGCGACGCCTCGGCACCCTACCAGCTATTGCAGTGCACCGGACCTGAAATTGGGGACAGCTTGCTCAAGGCCAATCCCAACTTGGCCACTGAAACTCTACCCCACCTACTCGCTGCCATGCGCTCCCTAACAGTAATTCCAGTTGCCCCTTGCGTGCTACGCACAGAGCTTCTCCAGCTAAGGCAAGCGCGAGACTGTCAAATCGCGCGTCCTGCACTTGTTTCCGGTCCCCCTGTGAGAAAATTATTGCGTCATTATGGCGGAGAAACTCGTCACGTGATCTGAAAACTGAACTTTGCACGAGAGTCTGGGAACTGTGTTGTCGTTCGGAGTTGTGGACTTGATCGAGTGTGTAGATTGAGTGTAGATCATCGAAATTTTACGTGAATTGATGTCGATGAATTTTTTAAGTGTAGAAGAGAGTACAGAATTTTAAAATATGAACACTACGTACATTTCACATGTGCAGAATATAGTGCATTAATTATAGAAACCTTTACCTTTCTGGATACTGGGAATATTTACAAAAAACGGAGTTAATATAGGCACCATCACATCCGACGTCTGAATCAACTGCCGTACTTAATTACTTTCATCGACTAAAATAGGGGTTCGACACTCATAAGAAATTCCACGTTTGAAAGGGGCCTAACATGACATAAGTTTTTCGGTAAAAGTAATTCGTATCTCTCTTTTTGGAAATCCATTTATCAATCGGCTTGTGCCGCGACTTAAGAATCAGCTGTAATAGTTGATTTTACTTTCCCTTTGACATGATTTGTATGGCACTGAACATGATTTGTATATCAAAAAAAGCGATCAGTATTCATCCATCCAATTCAATAAAAGCAAATGGAATCACCCTCGCTCGAACCGTGACTTCGTCGTATAAATATGCGGCACTGAAGGAAGGCGAAAAATCTAATCCTTTTTTATCAAATTATTTTAAGGTTTAAACTCGAAAATTTATATAGTGTAAAATAGAATTATAATTTGCTTTTACCAGTATCACTTGTAATAATAATAGTAATAATAATAATAATAATAATAAAGCAAATTATAATTAACATAAAAATCTCCCAGAATCCTTTGAGGCAATATTTTTTAAAAAAGCTTTATAACTTTGACAATTTTATACCTAGAAGAATGTCAGACAACAACAAGATAACAGGAAAAACCGTTTGAATGCAAAGGTTCACGCAACGTGTAAATAAAACTGACTGGTTCCTCTTGCCGGATCTCTAATTAGAGAGATGCTTTAGCCAGACGTCACTTGATGGGTAAAGTGAAACAAAACTGAATGCAAGGCTCGCAAATCAACAAGATAACATTTGTCATAACATAGATAGATAGATAGATGGAGATAGATAGTTTATTAAAACTGCATCGCAGCCAAAGGCTGAATTACGCAATTATTTACAACAACTTTACAATACTTGAAAATTACAAATGAATCCTAGACAATAAGTCGAAAACTAATTTTTAAATTAAATTTTTATTGAAATATGTTAAAATATAAAACATGAATATAAGTGGGATAAAAGTACAGCCCGGACTATTTCGACATCGCATATATAAAAGTATTACTTGTTCTGTTCGTGCAAAGCTTTGGCATATTAAAAAGGCGCTGTCGTCTTAGGTTATAGCCTGAGTTGTCATAGTCTGGTGGAAGGAGCGCCTTCAATTTATGGTTTGGATCACTGACAATGTTATCAAAAAGCCTGCTACATAGTACGTAATAATGCTCCAAAATGGGTGTTAACCCCACCTCTGTTGCCGAGTTGCACTTTCTTGAGGTTATTATTGATATTGCTCTTTTCTCGAGCCGTTCCAGCTCTTTCTTTAAGTACTGGGGGAGACCGTTGAAAAAGACAGGTGCTGCATAATCAACAACAGATCTCACGCACGATACGTAGAACAGTGCTAGATCCTGTTTCGGAACTCCCGCTCTCTTTAACTGAGTTAGGAAATAGAGTCTCTTGCTAGCCTTTTTGGTTATCTCAGTTACATGGTCGTTCCATGTTAGATCGCTCGCTATTGTAAGGCCTAGTAGCTTTGTACTAGTGACTAAATCTACCTCCTTCCCATGTCACATCTAGGGTAATGACGTCATCAGTCAGGTGACTATTTTTTTGTTGTGGTGGAGTTAAATTGTAGATAATAATAATAATAATAATAATAATAATAATAATAATAATAATAATAATAATAATAATAAAGTAAATCACTCTTATAATCTACACCTCAACAAAAGACTATCCTTTAGTTATTAAAACGTTTTTAGTAAAGTCTACTCCGATAATATATTAAGAAATTTTTAAAATGTTTAAAAACGATTTCTTTTTATGCGTAAAACAGGTACAGTTTAAATGCGTTTCATCATAGGCGCAAGTTAACAACCCTGACTATAATATTCTCAACACTGTTAATCACTAAAATTAGGTCAACCGTATTCAGAAACCGTTAAAGAAAATGAAATTTAAAAGAGCGAAGACAAATATCCGCTATTAAATTGTTCAAATAGAAGTCAGCTAATGAGTCTTTGTTCCTCACCCTCTGACAAACATGTTTGGAGATCCCAAAATATTAATAATTATAACTAGAGGTTCCACATTGGAAGTGAAGTGCTGCCCCAAGCTTGCTTTTGTCTATTTTGATGCATGTTTCAGACAAACAAAAACACAGAACATAATGCAGACAACGACGACAACGACCATTTAGAATTACAATGGAGCATACAATATGCCTCAATAAAAACGTTAGCGGTACACTGTACTTTTAATTTCTAATATAATCCCTGTAAGCTGGTCTAAATGATGATTAAGATTGTATAATAGAATATAATATAAAATCACGTTGGGTTCTTGTGACAAAAGTCAAATACAAAACTGTTATGGGCAAAGAAAAGGTTTAAGACATCCACGGGAGAGTGAATGACAAATTGTGTAGTTTTCTGTTGTATTCTTTTGATCTTTTAGGCAATTCGCTTGACTGTTTCATTCGGCGTCTCGTTGGGCAGAATTTAGTCTGTTCGACTCGCTGGTTTATTCCCCTCCTCGGGCAAATTATAATTCAATTTATTCGCCTCGTAGCTACATTCACCTTTTGAAGCAAGTAAAACCACCGATTAAAAAACAGTGAACTGCGTTAGGAAGGATATCCACTGACAATGGTTCTGTAGTTGATTGTCGGATGGCTCTTTGAAACATAAATTATCTCCTTGTGACAAGGTGTCGTCGATTGTGTTCGCGATCCACAGCAATGAAATGACATCGCTGCGAGACATAAAAAGAACATTGAACTCCCCTTGACCCATCATTAAAACCGTTTGGCTACCTGATGAATACTTCCCGAAATACCTACTTCAACTTTAAACATCAACCCAATGAACACAAGGAATGTCAAAGAACGAGTTCGCGGATTCAAGTCTGTGAGCGCCAAGAAGCCCTATAATTGACTTTTTCAGACTTTCTCAGCACTCACAAAATTGTGGAATTCATTATTATTGTTACCGTCCTATGCCCTATAATAACAGCAAGTGAGTCATTTAGATACTATGAATTGTTTGCAAAATATATTAAAGCATGCTGATTCTGACGAGAAAGCGATGAACAAGTAAAGAAAATTATAAAACAAAAAATATATTTCAACAAATTTGCCCAAATAGACAATGAATTCCCTGGAAATTGTTTTTGGAACTTTGTCCCCTTGAAGTGAATATCTTTGCAATCTATATTTTACTCAAAAAGTACAGTTGCGTTTGAAGTGTGGACAGTCTTACGTTTTCCATGACTCGGTATAGCTGTGCGCGATGACGTAACGCTTTAGGCCTGCTGGGAGGGATCGGAAAACGTGTTGTGTTCTTGTTAGCAAACGTTGTGAGTGCGAACCTTGTGAATCTAAGGAATCTGCAAAATCCGGTGTAATCTTAGAGAAATTGGAGTGTTGTTACCCAAGAAACAAGCCTCAGACCTGGAATAAATAGAGTTCAGTTCAGTTCAAATTCGTCAACAGTAGCTTTCGCAGTGATCTCGAAGACAGAATCAAAATGGTTGGCAAGAACTCGGTGTTTTTCCAAAGTGCAGAGCAATAACTTATTAAAATACAAGAAA